GGGGGGATCATTGAAACTAACCGCTTGCTTCTGTAACATGGGCTTTGTGGTTGCATAGAATCCGCCATCTGGCTGGCTGGCTAGCGATAGTGCGCTTGAATTGGAAGCGATAACATGTACGGAGATGGGGGAACACCTATGTATCGAATCATCGAATCCTCCCCAGGGCCCAAGTTGGGCCAGAACCCGGAGATGGATGAAAAGAGGGAAGGCCAACACGCGCTAATGTATTTCTAGCACCATTACTTCTCCCATGATAGATGGGCTTCGGGCTCCGTACTTGGCCGTAGGAGGTATGGACCTCAAGCTTAGCACGTAAAATGAGCATGATTTTTGATTTCTCGACTTAACCGAAATGGGAAATGTTGTGGATGGAAATGATGGGAAGGGTCACGTCTCTCAGACGCTCGCCCAATAGGATTGTGATCTATCCGTTTCTGCTTTTCCCCCTTCCCCCCTCTCTTTGCCGCCGCAGTCAATGCTCTTTTACTACGAGCAAAAAGGATGAAGAAGAGATGCGATTGTCAATGGCCTCTATGAAAAAAGTTTGGCTCCGAGAAGTGAAAAAGAAGGGCTGGCCAATAACAAAAATGGAACCTTTTTCTTTATATCGTTATCCCCCCTCCCCCCCCCCCTTCGCGGGTGGATAAGCAGTCTTATTACCAAGGAAAAGTGATGTATTTTTTTTTCTTTCGTATTTCAATCTCCGTTGTTGTCTTAATGCGACCTCATCCTTCGCGGTTGATATCAATAGATGGAGAAGAGCTGCTGGCGTGCTTATTGGCTGTTGGTACCCCACATATATTTTGAAGATCAAACCTTAAAAAAAAAAAAAAGTAGAGAGAAGTTAAAAAATTAAAAACGAGAGTACTTGGCTTTTGCATTACTCGATACTATCTCCCGTCATTCGGCTGGGACCTCCTCATCAGGGCCCTTCTTCGAGCAAAAATATGAATAACTTCGCCTGCTCCCTCCTGAACAGACTCGTTGCTCCACGCTTGCGTGTGTGGCGTTCGTAGCTTGGGCTCTTGCGAACAAGGGGCCAACTTGCCCGGGGCGCAACTTACGTCATACTCGTGGCTAGAGCGTTGTATGTGTGGCGCACCAGAGTTGTGGCGTCCGGGCTGGTCAGATGAAGAGGCAACAAGCCTTTCAACCGCGGTTCACGAGTTCAACGACTCTCAATGGAGTATATAAAAAGAAATAGTATTAAGGCCGGGAGGCCGGTGTAGGTTGCAGGGCAATTATCACAATAATATTAAACCCCTGGA